AAAAAAAAAAAAAAAAATACCATTGCTCTGAAGCACCAGCAACCCTCCACCAAAACACCAAGAACACCAGCAACACAACCACCCCAACCTCACTCCCCCTTCCTCCCAAAAATCTTTCCCAAAATCCCCACCTGAGTCTCACTAGGCATCGCCACATCTCCCCCAACCCGAACCGGCGCCCTCTGTCTAAACGTCCTCCCCCTCTTCCCCTCCCTCTCCCCTCCACCTCCACCCTCCTCAGCCGGCCTCTTCTTGACAGCAAAGATGGATGCCTTGGTGATAGGTTCAGCAGGCGTCAATCCCTCCTCCTGAGCCCTCTTAAGCTTCCTGGTCTCGATGGCCTGAATCATCTTTGATTTGGAGACGCTGCGGAGATACTCCTTGTTCTCGCGCTTGACGGAGGCCATTTCAGCGCGGAGCTTCTGTTCGCGGACGGCGCGTTCTTTTTTTTTTTTTTTTTTTGCAGGGGAAGGCATTTATAGTGGAGAGGGAGGTAGGGAGGGAGAATGAATAAATGAGAGTAGAGGGAGATGAGAGATGGTGGTAAATGAGAAAAAAAAGTGCGGTAGAGAGAAAGAAACCCCGCAACAAGAAAAACAAAAAGCACTTGAAAAACATATGACAGAAAAACAAAAACAAAAATAAAAACCATACCATAAGAGATCTGATCCGTCAAATGATGCCACTTAAACCTCGGCAGATACCTCAAACTCCAAAGATCATCATAAAACCTCCCCCCCGGCGTCCCCCCCACATTCCTCCCGGTCCAAAACTCCGCAGCCCTCCTAGCAACCCTCTTATCCTCAAACTCCACCCACCCCTCCACAAAATTGACCCTCCGATTCCCCTTATACTTTCGCCTCCTGGCCGTGATCTTCGGGTCCTCCGGGGCCAAATAAATCCTCCCCAACGTCCCATGCTGGCTCAACAGCACTCTCAGCGCCTGGGGTTTCATGAAGGGCGGGATGCGGGAGAGGTAGCAGACGCCGGTTTTATCGAGACGCGTGTTGAAGGTTT